GTTAAATTTATCTGTAAAAATTATAGTATTTTTTTTATTTTCTGTGAAAAAAAAAAAACATTTGACAGATGAAAACTGGGATCCTACCTTAGTACCACTGAAACTATCAACCTTATTATTTTTTAATAATAAGTAAAACAGAATTTGTAATGAAACAATGAAATAGATCCAAATGACCTATCGGTAATCATGTCTGTTCCAGCCCAGATCATTATTAGAATTTCTTTTAAGTATTATGTCTTCAGTACAGGAGCCATAACAGGAGCCAGGACATGATCTACAGGGGCACTGGCCCCCATCGGCCCCCGTCTAGAACTGGCCATGACCCTCAGTACTCCTGTTCATCATGGAGGAGGTCTGTTCCTCTAATGTACAACAACCAGAAGGCTAGTGGGGTGCAAAGCACTAAAGACATAATAACAAATATAGATATCCAGCATTTTATGGTATCTAAAAGTACTGATATACATTTAAAATTTATAGTTGGATATTTTAACATGAGCCCAAAATGAATGTTGCTTCAGATTGTAGTTTATTAATGATAAAAAGTTCATTTATTTATCAGAAGAGAGATTAGGAAACATCTAATTATAAAAATCTGAACACTGTTTGCCCACCAGGCTTTTAGCTAGGAATATTTTCTCTCCCTGTTTATGTCAGGTGAATCCCTCCATTGTGACAACAATAAAGTCTTATCTTATTAAACTCTTACTGAAGTGACTTTTAGGAACAAAATAATTCTGCAAATGTATCCATAAAGCTGAGATATCACAGCCAGCGCCAAGCACGATGCCGCCTGCTGCTTTGGATGTCCTCATTATTCTGTCCATCAATCAGATGCTGCTTCCTTTCATTTGTCATGTTACTTTTTTTAATTGGACTCTCCACCTCAGTCACAGCCACCTCCATTTCTGCCTCGGTTCAAGTTGAAGGTCACAGGTGTTTTATTTTTATTCAAATCAGAATCAAACATTCAGATCAAGTTGTGATGCTGTTTGTGTGTGTGCTGTTTTATAATATCAGCCTAACATGTCAAATATTTTAAACGACTTTATTTTAACGAGGGAATAAAGTGAATGTGATTGGTCGTTTATCAAGGGGGCGGGATTATTGTGGTAGAAGGTTCGTAAGCATTTTAGTTGTGGCTGGTTTCTCGTTTGTCGGAAGCTAACCAGTTAGCAACTTAGTGCTAGTAGGTTCCCAATGGGAAATTCCATTGGGACCAAGTAGCACTAAATTGGTGACTTAGAAACGACGCTGTCAAGGAACGCTATGGACAGAGGAAACATGCAAGAGGAGGAGAGTTTAGTGTCGGAGGTCGTGGATGAGTCTCCTCCGTCATCCATTTTTTATTTAGAGGAGGAAAGCGGGGACGAAGATGTTGTGGAAGAGGACGCCAGGGCGGCAGAAGCTTGGTTTGGTGTAGAAGGCTTCCAGCCGTACATGTTTGAGCCCTTGCCTCGCAACGCTGCCAGTTCTGTTAGCTCTACGCCTGCTGAAGACACAGACGTCCATCCCCGTGAACACTGGGACGCAACTCAATGGGAAAGGAAAGGATTCTGATTTCAACCGTTGCGTATATTAGCTGCGACACATGAATCAAGATGCTATGACTGAATAGATTTGATTGACAGATGACCGTTGGTATATGATTGGCTGAATTTAGGTGTTCAGGCTGACGTAGAACTAACTGGCCTGCAGAAGATAACGGAAAAAAGATATTATTTTTATCTTAATAGAATTTTTCTAACTTATGGGACAATATAGTCTGATAAAGAGTACATTTATATACATGTTTAAGCCAGAATGATTTGAAATTAAAATATGATTTCCATATGACTTTAAATCACTGCAAACATATTAGTTTTAGGTATAAATAATGATCCATTGATTATTCCCTGCTGACCGGACTTTTCCTTTAACTGTCATTTCTGCTTTGAATGTAAGCCTGAGTTCTCCAAGAGGATCCAGTAAACAAACACATGTAAAAAAAAATCCTACATTTTGGGTGAACCTCTCCTTCTAAGCAGCCTTTTCTTTTGGCCCCATGGTGAAATGGGATTACAGGCTAATCTGGACCTTTCTCTCCATAATCTCTCTATAAACTGAATAAAAGTAAAATAATAAAACAATGGAAGAATTTATTTTAAAGATTCAGGAGGATGATAAGTAAATACGTGACGTGATAAGGTACAGGATGTAGGACACACCCCGAGTTGTAACGTCACAGCAGGTGTTTCACCTCACATTTTCTTCACATATTGCTTCATCCACAGTGACAGAGAGCCGCTGGGTGTCCGTCCGTGGGCTGTGACCAGCGGAAATGATGCGGTTTTTGGGGGGGGGGATAGGTTGCTATGAGGGTTTATCATGGCGGGGAGATGTTAGCGGCTCAGCGGTTGGTTGATCTCCGCTGATCTCGTGAGGTTAAAGAGCGTTTATCAATGAGCCGCGGCGCTATGTTTGATGTTGGCCAACATTTAGCCTAGCTAGCGGCTAGCAGATGTTAGCAGAGCTTCACTGAGCAGCAGCAGTTACCTGCGGGCTGTCCTCCAACGTCTCCTCCAACGGCAGCTTCTCTATTCCGGGCATAGCGGCTCCTGGCGTGTCGCCTATCGAAGCGAACCGGCAGAGAAAACACCAAACAAACCGACCTGAGAACTCCCACTCAGGATATGTTGGTTCCACGAATTCACAACACCCCAAATCAGCTCCTCCTGGTTCGGACTGACCCCGCCCATTAGGCGGTTTGTGATTGGCTGACACAGACTAGAGTGAATTTAATTGGCTTCTTGTTTAAAAGGCAACGGGCGCCATTTTGGCTCCGGAGGCGCTGGGAGATGGAATTCCGCATTAGAGAGCCATAATGGAGCCCCTAGTTCTTTGTTGTTGTTTCTAAACTTTATTAAGTATAAAAAGATTAAATATACAATAGTGCGTTTTCGACCCCTAGACAGCGGATTAACTTGGATTTTTCCGGATATCCTGTTTTTATTAAGCCTCAAATCAATGAAAGAGGCAACCAGGGGTGGATTTAGACAATTTGAGGCCCTTGGCAAAGACAGACAGGGGGCCTAGTGTGACATCACATGAAACCCCCCTATTATCCAGATAGAGAAATGTTAATAGAATACACATGCATTATTTGTTCTAGGTTTTGTCCCTCTCTTCTTGTCCCTTTTCTTGTCGTTTTCCCCACTCTGAGACACACCTAATATTATAAGTGTTCTGATGGCATTTTAGCCAAAGGATTTTATCAAAAACATTATTAATGTGCCAGAATTCTGTGGCCTTGAAGGTGATAACAGACTGTGTGAAAACTTTTATAGTGAGTAAATAACAGACCAGATGAAGCTACTATGAGAAAAAGCAGAGAGAGCAGAACGTTAGAGATTGAACTAACAGATTCTGCAGGGTAGGAGAAGAGAGACAGAATGAAGCTGGGTAAACCCAACAAGTCTTAAGACAACTTTATTATCATTTTGTGAATACAAAACAAAATGGTCTGTAATGATCTTCTCTATGAAGGAAGACCAGTCTACCCAGTGTCGTCATACTGGAAGCTGTGGGAGGAGATAAACTGGAGGAGGAAGTTTCAGCGGAGCAGATCTTGGAGGTAAAGATCTTCTTCCAGGTCAAAACATCTTTACTTTGCTTCACTGGGAGGAAATTCCACCTTCAGACAGAAGGATGGTTTTTACTGGTAGGAATCACAGTGGTACTGGTCTTAATGGTCCCAGAGCCATTTAGATCACATCTGTTCTCAAACCTCTGCAATGGTTCCCTATTTATCAAACAGTAGATATTAAAATTCTACTTAAAGGGGAACGCCGTTTTCCGTTATTCCATCATGTTCTACTCTCCCATATGAGTTTAGTGTCATTTGGAGCCGTTCTGAAGATATTCCGTTAGGTTATATCCAGTAACGTCTTCCTATGGGCAACGACTTGAAGGCACAAACCAAACTGTTCATCATTTATTCTTTATGGTACGCCAGCATTCAGAACATGTAGGAGAATCACTGTCCCCAGACATCCGCCATTAGATTTTTTATATTTATATCTTTTAAAAACGAGTGAGATCATCGGTGGTAGCAGCACTAGACATCTTCCAGGCATGTGAGTAAAACTAGCAGCAGTTCAACAGACAGGATGAAGGGATGGTAGCCGGCGCGCGGATGACGTCATACACACTCCGCTTTGTTTTAAAAAAATACATAAATATAAAAATATAACGGCGGATGTCTGGGGGTCAGTGATTGGCCTACATGTTATGAATGCTGGCGTAGCATAAATAACCCAGGAGGGTGTGGGGGCATGGGATCAGAGATTGCATACCATACCATACCATACCAACTTTATTTATGAAGCACTTTATACACCGAACAGGACCAAAGTGCTGTACACAATCATAAAATACAATAAAATTATAAAATTGAGAAAAAAACGAGTGTAAAATACATATTAGTATACAAAAAGAATAAAACAAAGTAAAACGTCTCAAATTGTGTCAAAAGCCAAGGAAAAAAGATGAGTCTTAATTGCACGATTAAATGAAATCTGACTTTTGAAAATCCAATACCAAAAATGGCCAGAAGATGGCAGAAGTGCATGTATATCTACCACTTGCATGAACCACATTTCTTTTTATATCCAGTTTTGCTGTTAAGCAGTTCAGGTTCCTGGAGCGCAGCATGAAGCGAGCGCCTGGTTGACCTAACTTCCTGCTCCAGCTGCTAAATGGCATCTGGCCATGTCTCCTCCAGCCGTGCCCAGCGCCATTTATTGTTCAGACCTTTATCTATAGTGGTGACATCTTTGCCGGAGTTCATGACCTGCATGGTTCCCGCTCCGTGCCATTCCGTTCTCTCTATCGTCCTGCTCTCCAAAACACAAAGTTTAATTTATTTATTTTTTGACTTTTTACTCGTCTCTCCGTTGAATGGTGAGTCTCCGTGTAGAACTTCTCCACTGAACCACAATCTGACAACTTGAGCAACAAACGACAGGAGGTGGAACACGCTTTCCTAAGGCCCGCCCCCTTTTTCATCTGATTGGCCAATACTGTTAGTTTCAGAGCGCTCCTTTGCTACCATTGGCTGACAAATGTGACTAAACTTGATATAAAATGTTTCAATAAATAAATATGTAAAATATCTTGTTGCTTTTTTTGACCAACTTATTCTGGACCCCCTTTGGTTTCGCAGTAAATTGAGTCAAACTGCTGTTGAGATGAATTCAGCTTCAGAGCCTCATCTGCTGAGAGTCCGATTGTGGCTCCGTCTCTATCAGGGAGGGGCGATCCACCGCCGCAGACAACTTTCCTGGTTTATTTTCTCTTCTTATATTTGACTTTTTATTTTTTACTTTTGCTCGTAGTTCTATGAAACAGGCTGCATATGTTTAATGTAATATTTGGCATGATTAATATAATCATAATTTCCTCCATCTCCATGGCTTAGAACCTCGTCTTTCCTTCATGGCCGCTCTCTGACTGCCAGTAGAACAATCATTTTAAGGGGCGCAACCTAACTGGTTTGCCCGTCTTGACATTTACGCAGGAATCCTTGTAAATCACATTCAATGCCCTCATTTATGCACATGCAAAATAAGAAAAAATGCACGTGTAATTTAGTGTTCCTTAGTTGGAACCTTTGATAATTAGGCCTATTTTATACGGAGAGCCATTTTATCCAAAATGTAACAAAATACCGTCATAAATTATTACTAAATATTACATGACTGAAATTTCCCCACTAAATAAAATCTATATTTAAACATTTGTTTGCTTTTTTTGTCATTTGCTTGTAGATCTAAGACTAATTTCTTCCAATATTGGTGTATATTTACTTCAATATGTTTTTGATGAATCTAATGCTAGATTTAGTTTTTATAATTTAATTTTTATGACTTTATTACAACATTTTTTAGATATAAATTATGTTTAAAGCATTCTTTTCTAATGACGTGTGGTGGGCTGTATTCTTTGATGAGAACAGAGAAAAGCTCAACTCATTTATTTTAATAATATATGGGGATCTGTGCAATATTAAAAAATGAAAACACGGGTTAAAAAAAACCTTGAAATACTAAAAGCAGCTTTACAAAATAAAACCCCCTTCGAAATAAACAAATTGAAATAAATGAAACTTAATAGATACATAAATATGTGTTTTGCAATAAATTATTAAATAAAAATAGATAAATCTGAAGTGAATAAATATGGCTGAACAAATGACTAAATATTATGATCTATTTTATTGTATTTGAATGGTTATATTTATTTATTTGATGGAATATTTATTAATAACTCATTAAAATCAGGATTTAATTCTGAATCAAATGGCTCTCCATAATTGAGTCCCGCTTTATTTCCTCTGGGCTGCAGGTTAAAGCATGGTGGCGCTGAAATGACTCCGTTCTCTCAGAAAAACTTTTATTCTGGATAACTTTACAATAAAAAACAATAAATAAATGTCCTGTAGAACCTTTTTCAGTCACAGGATCAAAGCGCTTCTCGCTGCATTCATCCAGAGCGACTTTTGGTTTCATAGGAGTTTAATACAAAAATCAGATGTAGAAAACAACACAAACATAAAAATCCACTTAAGTTAAAACGGTTTGTTACAGATTTTCTTTCTACATCAAACCAAAGCGAACAATCAGCCCAGAGCAGAAGCTCCGCTCCGCTGGAAGACGGCTGAAGTGTCTCCTCCAGGAGATGAAGCGTTCAGGAACCGTCAGAGCTCCTGTGACTGCCAACTCAGTCAGGGTTTAAAGTTTCTGTACATGAAGGTGAATCTCAGCATCAGAGACCTGGTCTGATTAGTGTTGAGGAGTTTCTTCCCTGAAACGATCGGGAAGGTTTTCAGTCGCGGGTTCAGCATCTTTTCCTTTGCTGGTGGTTCTGTTCGTCACCCGGAGCATCATCAGGGGAGGGAGGGAACGAGCTAAGAAAAAAACGGCTCCCTACATCCTGTTAAAACCTCCTCCTGGTCGGACGCCTCGGTACGAGTTTCCTCCCTGACCGTAGAACCCGCTCAGGAAGTCCATGCCGCTCGGCTGGAAGCCCCAGACCAGGGGGTTTGCTGGGGGTCCAAAGCCACCGGGCCAGAGGTTGGGGGCGGCCATGACGCCTCGGAGTCCTCCTCCCAGAGGGGTGAGGGGTCCCAGTAGGGGTCCTGGGGGGAACCGCTGGCCGTGGAACGGAGGCAGGTGTGGATTTTGCAGGAGGCCCATGTTCTGCTGCGGCTGCTGGCTGCACGGCTGGAGCCGGGCCGCAATCAGCTGCTGGTTCTGAACTGCCGGACCGGGCACTGGATCGCGGTCCCGATGCATTAAAACTGGAATTCTGGAATCCGTGGTGCCATGGCTCTGTGGGGCAGCTGCCTGGTCCACTGCCTGCTCCTGGTTGGACTGGGAAGATCTGGGAAGTAAACACAGACAGGCTCAGATTGGATCGATTAATTCTATGGAAACCAGCTGGGAATCAATTTCTGGATGGTAACCAAATAATACAGCTGCCTCTTAAGAAGTTTATCCTGTTACCCACGGTTACAAACCATTACATCCCGTTTTATGCTGTTACGTATTGTTACATCCTGTTTTATACCATTATCTCTAGTAACAACCAGATAAATCCCGCTTTATCCTGTTACCTATTTTTCCATTCCGTTTTATCCCGTTACATCCAGTTTTATAATGTTACCTCTTGTTACAGCCCTTCACATCCTGCTCTATCCTGTTGTCTCTTGTTATAACCCGTTACATCCTGTTTTATTAATTACATCCTGTTACGACCCGTTACAGCCTGTTTTATTAGGTTACCTCTTGTTACGACCCGTTACAGCCTATTTTATTAGGTTAGCTCCTGTTATGACCCGTTACAGCCCGTTTTTATTAGGTTAGCTCCTGTTACGACCCATTACAGCCCATTTTATTAGGTTAGCTCCTGTTATGACCCGTTACAGCCCGTTTTTATTAGGTTAGCTCCTGTTACGACCCATTACAGCCCGTTTTATTAGGTTAGCTCCTGTTACATACCGTTACAGCCCGTTTTATTAGGTTAGCTCCTGTTACGACCCATTATCGCCTTTTTATTAGGTTACCTCCTGTTACGACCCGTTACTGCCTTTTTATTAGGTAACCTCCTGATACAACCCGTTACAGCCTGTTTTATTAGGTGACCTCCTGTTACAACCCGTTACAGCCTGTTTTATTAGGTTACCTCCTGTTACGACCCGTTATCGCCTTTTTATTAGGTTACCTCCTGTTACGACCCGTTACCGCCTTTTTATTAGGTAACCTCCTGATACGACCTGTTACAGACCTCCTGTTACAACCCGTTACATCCTGTTTTATTGGGTTACCTCCTGTTACGACCCGTTACAGCCTGTTTTATTAGGTTACCTCCTGTTACGACCCGTTACAGCCTGTTTTATTAGGTTACCTCCTGTTACGACCCGTTACAGCCCGTTTTATTTGGGTTACCTCCTGTTATGACCCGTTACCGCCCGTTTTGTTTGGGTTACCTCCTGTTACCGCCTTTTTATTAGGTTACCTCCTGTTACGACCCGTTACAGCCTGTTTTATTAGGTTACCTCCTGTTACAACCCGTTACAGCCCATTTTATTAGGTTACTTCCTGTTACGACCCGTTACAGCCTGTTTTATTAGGTTACCTCCTGTTACAA